TGTTACAGTGAAATGTCTTCCTAGTGTCACATGAAAGCAATAAAAAATTGAGTTCATGGAAAAGCAACAGTTCTTTTACTTAGGAACAAAAACTGGGACACAAACAAGCGCTAAATGATAATGTTAATAAACTAAATTTCATGTTCATACATTAAATAATGCCGCATGGGATCATAGTGAGAATAAATAGCAATATTCTTTGAATTATTGCTCGTAGTTATTTGAAATACATAATGGTTAAAATTGCTTGAGAGTCTAGCAAGAAATGACTTAAGATCTCCATAAACATTTGACAATTTGAATTGATAAGTCTCTGAAACTTCATTTCACAGTCAATAGACTAGCTTTTGTAAAATGGTGTAAACAATTTGCAGCATTGTTAATGAAGGTAAAACTAATAGTTTGCCAGTATTTTGTACAAAGTGGGGAGAATAATCAATAGTCCGAAGTTTTACGCCACGAAGGTTATAATTATAGCTCTCCTCAGGAGTTAGTCTTCTTAAGATTCCTGGCGGCTTGAGTTTGTGTTTAAGTTAATTTGCTTGAATGATACCTTTGGAGCCAAAGAGTTTGGCATCATCAAGCATACGTATCAGCTCGATCATAAACAACAAATAGGAACTAACCTCCTGTTTGCTTTTGTCAAGTTTTTGACTGATTTCGTAGGGTATGAGATATTGAAAAATTGCATTTTTTGTATGCTTATTTACTTGCGAATTTAAAACTATAAGGGTCAAATAAGTTTTCTCACACCACTTTTTGGATAGAAACATAGAAAGAATAATATTTCAAAATTAATGGAATGTCGATGATTAAAATGTGATAAAACAATTTAAAACATAAGTCCAATAAAAAGCAAAGATTGGGCTCTTGTAATGAAAATAATAAGTGGTGCAACTAAAAGAATCTGTGGTGCCCCTTAAGTTAATTAATAACGTTAACCACTTATCAAATATCATCATTATTATGGTGAAATGGATCAATTTAATTGTTGAAGTATGAAAATGTAGCTCCTATTTGGTACACATTAAAAATCATTAAAATTTTTAAGTCAATGTAAATAGTTAATTTAATAAAATATTTTATGAGATCTACAAATTTACAAGCACATATTTTATCAATTTTTATTAAAATTTATTAAAAAGAGAGACTGGACAATTGGCTCAAGCCTTGGGAATCCTGCCCACTCCTAGCTTTTTTTTTTCTTTTCCCCTAAAAGATTACTCATTGACTGAATTTTATAATTATTTATATTTAATTATACAAGTGAGATGAGTCAAATTGAATTTTAGTTAAACTCATGTTGAAAATCTAAAACAATATCGAATTATTAAATTCAATTCCAATAATCACCTTTGACCTGTTATTTGAAAATTGTCGTTATAAAAATTTTCAATTGGAAGATGCGTTGCAAAGTTTGGCATGAATAATTCAAAATGGCCCTTAACCTTTGCCTTTGAGATAATATAAAGATAAGTTGAAAATTTTGATATCATAATGCGAATTAAAAGATAAAAATTTTAATTTTGAATCCATTTCTTAAAGCCACGTTGGGCTCATCATTTTGAATTCGTCTTTATTTTTATTTCAAAATATGTAGTGCAAAGTTTGACATTAATACTTCAATATGGCACTAAGAACCTATTTTGAAGAGTAAAAAACATAGCCCAAAATTAATTTGAAAGATTTGAGACCAAAATGAAAATTAAAAGATAAAAAAAAAAAAAGTTCTATTAATTTTGAACTTTTTAAACTCAATTAAAACAAACATCTTTTAGTCCTAATTCTTCTTTTAATGGTTTTTCAATACAAAAGATGCATTAAGATGAAATCAAACTAATCCCAAATAGAAAAATTTCTAGCTCCTTCACCCTGTTGAATTACAAAACAAGTATGTAAAAAATAAATAAATAAAAGCATTTTGAGAATAAATAAATCTTAAAAGTATGTTTAGAATTCATAATTTTTTCCACTGTATCTGTGAGTTATTGCTAAATTTTAATTTTCATATCTGTGAGTTATTGATGAATCATTAAATATATGGGACCTGTCATTAATTTATTCACCAATTAAATGATATTTTATGTCACTGTTGTTTAAGTCAAAGACATTAAAATATTGGAAAAGTTTACATGTATCAGTTGTCATTGATCGGCGATTCGCGATGTCATGCTATTTTTGATTTGGGCTGCGGAAAATGACAATGGCAATAAACAAGTGATCGCATGTGTACACGAGGGGTTTTACAGGACCCCTCTAGAACAGACACACAATAGGTGGGCCTCCAATGTGGGACCCGCCTCATAAAAAATTCAAAAAAATCCCCTTCCTTTATTGTGTGTGTCCTAGAGGTGATGTGAAACCCCTCACTATTCAAACAGCGTAATATTTTTTTTTTTTTTAACGAGATGTCCCAGCTTGCGCCAGACTATATATCCTCGTCCCTGAACCTCCGACCCCTCAGCTGCTCAGGGAGGTAAATCGCAGAATGTGCCCTTGTTGGTTTCTAGGTTCCCACATGACTTTTACTCCTTCTCCAAAGGAAGCCTCCTCCATGGTGATTAATTCACCAATAATTCCTCCTTTATTGGATCAAAGGTTCCCACCAGGAATCGAACTCCCCACGCTTGGTTCCAGAGCCCCCCAATGTGATTGTTCCGCCAACTTGGATGTGCCCTGGGGGGAAACAGCGTAATCCTTATAAGATTTGATGGTGGCATTGGGCTATAGAAAGTGATAAAAATCTGCGACATTGGGCCATAGAGAATGATGACGGCAATGAACAAGTGACCGCATGTCATAATTATTTTATGGGAAAATTTTATAAGTAAGAGATTAAGTATGTCATATTCAAAATTAAGAAAATAAGTTTCAAACTTCATAAATTAGATTTTTATTAAAATTTATTTATTATTAAATTAATTATTTATTTATTTTATTAACTAAATATATTTAAGTTACATATCTATACAATTTGGTCACAAATTAACAATTTAATTAATTAATTATTTTTTTTGGTCACAAATAAAGAAATTTATGTCACAAATTATTTTACGATCACAATTCAAAAAATTTGTAAATCACAGTTTATTCATCGGTCACAAATAAAAAAATTAATTAGTCACGGATTAATTTTTAGTCACAACTTATCAAATTATTGGTCACAGCTTACTTTTCGATCACAAATAAAAAAATTTTAAGGTCACAAATAGCATTTATGGTCACAATTCAAAAATTTTGTAAGTCACGATTTGTTTGTCACAGATAAAAAATTTATACGTTATAAGTTATTTATAAGTCACAGATAACAACTATTATAAGTCACGGATTAATTTTTTTTTTTTTTAGGTCACACTATATTCTTGGTCATAATTTATCTTTTTAGTGGTCACATATTGTTTATTAGTCAATGGTTAATCAATTTAATAGTCACAATCAATTAAATAATCTATGACCACCAACAAACCTCCGTTACCTCTACAGCACCACCGCCACAACCACACCAACACCATTGTCACCATCGCAGCACCACAACCATCACAACTACCATCTCACCATCACGGCAGACCAACCACACAACTCCACAAATCCACCACACAACCACTAATCCACCACAAAATCGTTCCCACAGAACCATTCCCACAAATCCTCACAACCACCGTCCCCACCACAAAACCGCACGCATCCACCACCACTGCTCATCACCACTCACCCAACCACCACATCACCGTTGCACCTACAACAACCCAGTACGCAATACCCTATTACCACCACAATTCACACTATACCGCCACCACCCCCAACGAAACCATTACATTGTCCCACTCCAAAGAATCAAAGCGGGTGCAAACCACTGCTTGACATCCCTGCCCTTCCAAATTCACCACCATCGCGTAATCAACGCCCGTAGCAGCTCCACTGCTTCACATCGCAACGAATCGAGGCGATTGCAAACCACCTCTTCACATCACTGCCAGATCGCTTCAGCCATCGAGCGAGGGACCTGCACCAACCACATCTTCACATCGCGACGCTGGATTGGTCTATCGCAGGAGTTCGTAGCCGACAGAAGTGTTGATGTAGAGAGAGATGTAGGACAGCGTCTTGTGTAGAGAGAGAGAGAGTGAAGTGTTTATGAAGATGATTAGGGTTTGTAATGTATATAATGGAGTATATTAGTAAAATATTTATTTTATAAAATATTGATTAAAATAATATTTCTGATTATTGAAATATGAAACTTTGAATATGATTTTAGAAGGTTGAACAGTTAAAGTATGATTTTATGTAATTTCCACTTATTTTATTAATTATAGATGTTCGGTGGTCACAATTAATATGATTATAAAATTAGTTGGTGACATAAATGAGGTATTTGTGGTAATCGGTGAATTTGAGTCCCGAGTTCATTTAGCATAACTTTTACTTTGGTATTGCATCACGTAGAAGAGCATCAAAAGATATTACTTTAATTTTTATTTGAAAATTAATTTTTTAAAGACCTTTGGATTGGCTTCACTAAAAGTTCTTCTATTTAGAAGAAACACTTTTATGAAATTAGTCGAATAGATCCAAAAATAGCTTTTAAATATTGAAAATTCGTTTGAACTTTTCCAAAGTCATGCCAAACGGATATTTATCATGTCGATCAGGAAGATAAAAATGTGGGTGTAGTTAGGAAATCTCTTGTTGTATTTTACAAGTTTTGATTTTTTTATAGATACAAATGAAATCTCTTCTTGTTTAAATTTATATTATGTATTTGGTTTATCATGATATAATAGAGACTAAGTCTTGAATCAAATATTACAAATGAAATCTCTTCTTGTTTAAATTTATATTTATGTATTTGGTTAATCATGATATAATAGAGACTGAGTCTTGAATCAAATATCTTATTAACTTTCCCAGTAGAATAATGTTTTATATATTTGATTATGAACATGATTTATGAGAACTCAATTACTACAAATCATAATAATGTTAGAAAAATACGATACAAGTACAAAACAGAAACCTGCTTTCATTTATCCATGATAAGACAAAAAGACGACTTTGCAGTCAACCGGAAAATAGAAATAATATAGGCATCCATTGTCCACATGGCCAGCCTATTTCAGTGAAAACTTTTAGCTAAAAATTTCATTCATAGGAGACAGAACTGTGCAACCTTAGTTACGATTGATTGCATCTTGAAGGAGGCACTCACCAGAGATTCTATGTTGCCATCTCCAAGTAAGTGTACTCATGCTCATATGCCATATGCAGATTAGTTATGGATTTAATTTCTCAGTAAACAAATACTCAAATGAAGCTGTACATTAGTGGCTTTTACGAGAAAAATCCCTGTTTGTGGTAGAATAACATTGATATTTGCGAAAATGCGTTTTTGTACAACTTCAATTTGTTGGTGAAAACGAGCAGAATTAAACTCTAAATACAGAAAGTTGAGGAGATTGAAATGTATTTGGTGGTGGTATGAGTTGTGTAGATGAGAATTTGGAGTATCATGTAGGCCATTTGAAATATCTATAAAATCTAACATTTCTACTGAACATTTGCTGATTATCTGAACTGAATATTGAATCACTTCTCTCCTAGGAGCATAGTTAAACCAATTATTATCGAAAAGTTCTTTCTTGTATCAATTTAACCACATCTCAAAAAGTTTTTGTTTTCCTCACTATATAACTATATCTTATTTGAATTTTTTCGGACAGAGCATCACAATTTGAGATCAAATTGTAAACAGATTAAAAGTGGATGAAATTGTGGTATTGTAACACTACTTGGTGATGTTAATTTTGGTCTTGCTGTTTTATTCCCACGGGAGGAATGGAGTAGCCCACACTGTAGCATCCTTTGTTTCTCCAATTTTTGATATCACTAGTTCGACTTATTTGCATTCCATTATATTTGTCAACCACAACTCGTGGTGATATGGATTAATGAAGTTATAGATTTTGTCAAAAGAGAAAAGTGATGCAATTAGTTTGGAACTACTTATAGACCAGATTGATTAACGGGATAAACATTTTCCCTGTTGTGATAGGTGCACATTGATTTATTACAGTTTATCTGAGTTGGGATGCATACGAGTGCAATGCAATGATGAGGAATGTAACTTGACACTATCAAGAAATATCTGATCAAAATTTCAGCATCTTTTGCTGGTCCTTGCTGTGAGAAAGAAAATGGATGACTCATTGATCAATGGATATGAAAATGATGGATCGTTACAAGAATTTCGAACATATTTTGTTCCTGATATAAAGAAAAGAATTCAGGATGTACAACGAAAGCTAGATTTTTGGCACCGTTTATTAAAAGATCTAGATAAGAAAAAAAGTAAGGGGTCAAGTGAACATTACCTGGAAAGGGAAATTAGAGACTTTGTTTCTAGACTTCAAAATGTCCTTGAAACTTATTTCAACGAGGTCCAACGCAGAAGAGGCAGAAGCATAGTTGGAAAATTCATTGATGACTTCAAGTCCGTGCGGATGGCTGATTTAGATGTTAAAGAAATTAATATGCAGATAAGGCTGACCACTTGGCATTTTAAAACTTTAAAATCACTTAGTCCGACAGCAGAAGAAGAAATATCTCAGTCAGCAAATGAGAATCCAGAAACCGAGATCCGACGAAAGTTGAGGAGATGCATCTTTGACTCTGGAGAAAACGATATTGTTGTGAAGGATCAAAGCCTTCAAACTCTAAAATCTGCTCTGCTTGATGGCAACGACAGAGTTATTTGCATATACGGCTGGGGTGGCACAGGGAAGACCGCACTTGCCCATAAGTTATACACAGATCCAGAAGTTCAGTCCCTTTATCAAATTCGTTCCGCGGTAGAAATTGGCCCGGAATTTGCAGTAAAAAATGTTCTTAAAAGTGTTTTAGAACAACTTCCCGAAGGGAGAGAGAGAAAAGAGCAACCAAATCTAAAACTTGAAACAGTTGCAGAACATTTTAAAGAATATGGAAAAGATGTGAGATACTTGTTTGTTTTGGATGACATACGGTCACTGGACGATTGGAGTCTCTTGCGTAGAATTTTTCCAAAAAATCAAAACGGTAGCAAACTAATGTTGACAACTCGGTTAGCAGATGTTGCTTTTTCTGTGGATGAAGATGAACCAGATGGACTTGATGAACCAGGCGCATTTGTTCATATGATGCGGCGTTTAAGCCCGTCTGACTCTTTCCAGTTATTTCACAAGACAGCAGTCTCGTGCGACCATGACGGTAAGTTTCTCTTTCACAATATTCATCCAAATCTAAGTTCCGTTATGTTCACCATCTTCCGCAACTACCCTTTTCCACATTTTTGTTGGATCAAGATTATCTGCCTTATCCTCTATTCTAGGCATTTCTTGATAAATTTTATTATATGTGGTGTGTAACCTTCACGCCTATAATAGAGTTAATGTTAGTCGACAACTAACTACATTATGGATAAAATGATTGGTAATAAATGACATACTACGAGTCATTGTATATTAGAGAGCAATCATTAATCTATAATAATATATCCACTTAGGTTAAGAAGTGCACTCTTTTTTTAGTGATCATACAAAGTTAAAGGTGGTCTGAATCGGTCATGTAACGAACAAGACCACGACAAGCCCAGAAAAAATATGCAAGAATGAAATGTAGAAAGGAATGAATGAAACACAGAGAATTACAGAATTAACAGATGCCTGAATGTGCAAGTCGTTTCACGCGGTTCAGTAAATTTCTCACATCCACGTTAGGACTAGATCTATTTATTTCCTATTATTGATAGTAAATTACTGATATCTGTCCACTATTAAATTCATTGAAGTCAGAAAATTCATCACCGACTTAAAGGAAGAATCCAGATTACTCCGGGTATTTCATCTAAGGTAATATATTCAATTGAGACTTTTAATGACTTTATGTGATTTAAAAAAATTAAGGGTATTCAATTGAAACTTTTTGAGACTTTCTAAAAGTCACGGTGTATTCGATTAAGACTTTTATAGACTTTTAAAAAGTTTATAAAAATTACGGTGTATTCAATTAAAACTTTTTAGAAGTCTTTATAAGTTTTGAGTATTCAACTTTTAATGACTTCTAGAAACTTTTGTAAGAGTTTTCGAAGTACTAACTTTTAAGCAGAAAGTATTCTTATAAAATCATAAAATTTGTTTCTCATAAATCACGAGATTTTGGGAAACTTTCACAAAAAAAGTAATTATTTTTTTCAATCTTTCTTTTAACCCCCATGGACATGTATGATTATAATTAATTTTTTCTATTGATTTTTATTCCATTTATCTTTCTTTCTCTCTTATCTCTATTTTCTATGAAAAATTAAATTGGATTCTTGTAGTTTTTTTTTTTCATTCATTTTTTTTGTGAAAAATATCTATTTTTTTTATTAAATTATAAAATTTTATATGAAAAATGTATAATTAAATTTAAATATTTTTATTTTTATTTATTTTTAAAAGTATAATATATTAATAATATTGAATTAAGGTATTAAATTTTTATTTTTTCAATTTTTTTTTAATTATATAGGAAGACAAAGGGGAAGAAAAATGGGGATTGTGGGAACCAACACTATGTGAGAATTTCACACCAAATCCACGTGAATTCTATTTTAAATGAAAGTTTTTAAAAGTCTTTCGAATTTCACAAAAGCTTATAAAAATTTTAAAATGAAAATCTATAGAAATCTACAAAAGAATTCCACTAATTCCATACAAATTTATAAAAGATCCACGAAATTCACAAAAGTCATCACTTAAAAAAAGCCTATCAAAGTCTTCAAAAGTCTCAATTGAATACATCTCTCTAATTGTCTTCTCACATGTCTCTTTCTTTATATTGCTGTTTATTTTTCTAACTCTTGTCAAATGCCGGTCAGATTCTTGACTTTACGATCCTTAGTTTTGACTTCCCTACTAGATGTCTCTAGGTATAAATAAGTCAGTTGTTCCACTGGCTGTAGCAGTTACAGAAAGGACATTAGTGCCTCTCATAGTATGACAACAATGAGCACACAGTTGCTTTAATGAGAGGCAGCAGAGTGTTCTCTGTTGAGAGATAAATTAAGAAGTGTCACTGTAAATATCTAACTAGAATAAATTGTACTCTCTCCTTCCATTTATATAGAATGATTTTGTATTTTACACGAATTAAGGAATTTTATTTAATATTATTGAAAAAATAAATTTTGCCAAAATTTTCAAAATTTACCATTATTTAATTATCGATAACCAGTAGTAAATTAAGAATGATTTATTATAATTACGCAAATTAGATAAGGATATATAATAAATAAAAAAATTCTAAATAAAGAAACAAGACTATATAATTGGGAGAAAAAAATAAGAAAAATTAGCCTATATAAATGGAACGGGAGAGTGCAAATTTTTTAATAATGAGATGCATTTTACTCTCCCTCTCTCCCTCCCTCCCTCCCTCTCAGTTTTGAACTCGACAAATGCCTCGATGTGGTAGTGCAATGCAAATTCTCTGATATTGGAATTATTTAACACATCTATACAAGAAATAAAATCCCTTCAATTTTCTTGATCTAGTTGCTTGTTGATTTTTATCTGGTACATAAACAAATCTACACATTTGGACGCACATCTCATATTTTGACCTTCTTTATTTAGTCAAAAGAAGGTTTATGAAGGAATAAACTTCTGTTACTTTTCTCTTCTGATCGATGACATAAATAGCCATTGTACAAATATCAAGTTCTAAAGTTTAGGATCGTTATTGACTAATTTTAGAAAACAATACTACCTAGATACAAACTAGTAATTCTTTACAGCTAATAAAAAAAGACAATGGTGGAGTTTGGACAGAGAAGCACTGGACAGAGAAGTACTAGCTTGAAGATAATCACGCTAATTGTCCATATTCCCCTTCAAGTTGGTAAATTAAGAAAGATTTATTATAATTAAGCAAATTAGATAAGGGGCATATTAGTGGATAAAAAAAAATTCTAAATAAAGAAACAAGACTATATTATGGGGACAAGTAAATAATGAAAGTCGGCCTATATAAATGGAATAGAGGGAGTGCAAACTTTTTAATAATCTCTCTCTCTCTCTCTTTCTCTCTCTCTCTCTCTTAAACTCAACAAAGCCTCACTATGGTAGTGAAATGCAAATTGTCTAACATTGGAATTAATTAACACATCTGTACAAAGAAATAATGTCCCTTTAGTTTTCTTGATCTAATTGTTTGTTGATTTTTATCCAGTACATAAACAAATCTACACATTTGGATGCACATCTCAGATTTTGACCTTCTTTATTTAGTCAAAAAAAGGTTTTTGAAGGAATAAGTTTCTGTTACTTTTCGCTTCTAATCGATGGCATAAATAGCCATTCTCCACATATCAGATTCTAAAGTTTAGGATCATAGTTGACTAATTTTAGAAAACATTACTACCTAGATACAAGCTAATAATTATGTACAACTAATAAAAAGAGACAATGGGACATAGAAGCACTAGCTTGAAGATAATTAGGCTATTTGTCGACATTCTCCTTCAATTTGATGCATAGATATTGTTGACGTCAAAATTAGCAAGGTTAATTTTAAGCCAACTTTAAGAAAAAAGGTCGATTTATTATTTAAAAAGACACAAAATATGTTTAGAGAGTGTAATTATGCCTTGAGTTGTTGTACGAAAATCACTTGCATTTTACGAGAGTCCTATTCAACTATTTATACATAGTTTCAGTCGAAATTACATCAAATTAGTCAAATCAGCAATAGTACCGAGCTCGGAACTCGGGTCAACGTATTCTCCTGTGATTGGTCGATGAGGCCGGTGGTCATGTGTTAGTGTTTTACCCAGGTAATGATGACCTGCAAGGGGCTGGAGTTCGAGGACTTGGAATTGGTTGTTCCGGGCGGCAATGACCTGGGAGTATGGACCGAACTTACATTTAACTGAGGTGGAATTAGCGAGCTGTTTTTATTAGGTCGGAGTTCGGATGTCAACAGTTATCCCTCAGGTCAGTTCTTCCGTAAGAGGGAGCTGATATTCTGACTTGACTGGTTCTTTTTCCAAGAAAGGTAATTATTACTATGCCAAGTGTCGTGCCTGGATAGGGATGAGCTGTGCAGCACTTTTGGATTGCTTCTCCACGAAGTTTTCATCAAAACTACATCGTTTTTGACTTGCAAGTTTCTGGACCATTTGATCTTTCCCTCTATTTTGGGATGAGCAGTTCAGATCGTGTCTCTTGAGTTTCTTTTCTCTTAAAATACCTTGTCATTCATCTTTTCATTGTTTCACATTGCGCGACTCTTCCCTTTCAAAGCTTTTGGAAAATTTCTTCAATTCGTATTCTATTTTCACAAGTGAGGTCGACAACCTTCAGTTCTCAGGTATTCCTCTGTTTCTTCCTCACATTCTTCTGTTCAAGCTTTATTCGTTTTCCTCTGCATGAGGTCGGACGAATCTAGAGTGCATTCCTGGGGGAATCACCAAGAAGAATCTATCCCACCCTGTCCTAGTTCTTCGTCCAGTTGTCAGGAAGTCTTGCCCCTGTCCCTCTTTCTGTAGTTAATTCACTGGACCTAGGAGATCATGTGAGTATGAGGTCAAAGAGTGAGGATTCGAGAGGAGAAAGGGCTGAATCTCGCGAGGTCAGGCAGGGGAATAACTCAGGTGAGTGGGGGGCTAGTTTTTATAAATCCGTTGTTACGGGTGATATGCTGGCGAGCTGGCGAGCTAAGTACGCCATTTCGAGTTTGGTGATCACGATAATGCCAGAACCGTCTGACCGAGCTGACGTTCTCCCGGAGGGATGCGTCGCTCATAACTCTGCCATTCTTCAAGCAGGATGTAGGCTTCCATTCCCTAGAATAGTCCATAAGTTCCTTTCTTTTTGGGGCATAGCTCTCACTCAGTTATGCCCGAACGGATGGCAAACACTGATCGCCATCCTCATCCTTTGGGATAAACTGGGAAATCCCGAACTGAGCGTCCAACAGTTCAACTCCCTTTTCACTTTCAAGGAGGATGGGAAGAACTCCGGCTAGTGGTATACCAGCGTTAGGCCAGAACTGGGGGCTCGTTAGTCTTAGATACTCTGTCCTCAATCAAAAAATTGAAAGAGGAGTTTTTCTATGTGTCTAGAGAATGGCAATTCTATCCTTCCGAGGTAGACATAGAGGATGTGGTCCCTAGGCTCTATCATTCATTGTGTAAGTGATTATAAATTTGCTTCTTTGTTGAGGTCTGCACTGATGCGATATTGACCTTTGCCCTTTTTGGTAGATTATAAAAAAGGAAAACTTGACAAGAGATATACAAAGGAGAGCTGAGGTGATAAGGAAGTTGCCACAGAGGCAGAGATCTTATAAATTTGTGATCTCGGATTCAAACCTCTTTCAGGCTGGTTTAGTACAAGTGCGGGCGTCTAGTCCATCTGCTTCGAGAGTGTCTACCTTGGTCCTATCCAGCTCAGGTGAAGGTTAAGCCTTTGTTATTATTCATTACTACATATGATAATGATATTATATCTTTTTTCCCATTTCAGCATGTCACTCCGAGATGCTAAGCTACAAAGCTGCTAAGGTAGCAGCTCCTGCCTCCACCAGCTCAGTCAGGTCGCAAGATCCGTGTCTGGACTTGCAGCGATCGAGCTTGGAGAGTTTGCTGGGCCATCGATCGGAGATATTTCTGGATTTTCTACGTGCTCCTTCTCCGTCGAGGGAGACTACCGCAGCCTTCCCCTCACCTTTGCGTGAATCCGCCAACCTTCTCACAAGTAGTTGGGGGGAAAAGAAGTAGATCTTCTTGGGGGAGATGCTTGTTGGGGAGGCCATTGTCACTGCTCAACTTCATGGTCATCGTTCCATCTTGTACATGACGTCGATGGCGGACAAGGTACTTGTCCTCAGTAATGCTTGTGTTGCATAGATTTTGTTACTTACCATGTTTTAACTGTATTTGCTTTTTAACCTTCTCAGGTAAAAGTCAAACTCGACAAGCTACTCGAGGGCAAGGATCAGGCCGTAAAATTATATGAGAGTATGAATGAGGAAAAGGCAAATTTTGCTGCCAAGGAGGAGGATTATAGAGGTCAGCTTCAAAAAATGGGTGAGGAGTTGAATGCTGTGTTGACCTCTGAGCAGAATCTCCAGGATGAGGTTGTTTCTTTAAAGATTTGTGGTGAGAAGGCCAACAAGAGGGCCGAGATGGAGAAGAAGAGAGCTGAAAAGGAGAGGGCACGGGCGGAAGAGCTAAGGGCCCAGGTTTCTGAGGAGCGTTCTCATACGTTAAAGGCTATCAAGAAGATGGAGGAAGCTCATGCGAGATCAAAGGGCGAAATGAAGAGAGCTGAAGAGGCTGAGACCATAGGTATCAGAGCTGTGGAGCCTTGGAGAGAATCTCTAGAGTTTGACGCCTTAGCCTAAGATGCTATGTAGTAGCCTTGGAAGAGTTAATAAAGCACGTCCGAAGGGAGAGGCCGGAGTTTGATGCTACCTTTCTGGACGAAGCACTAGGCGAGTAGAGGGAGGAGCTGCGCAAATTGTCCAAAGCTGCTGGAGTTCGGACATCTCCTGCTGACTAGGATGTTGAGTGTAGCGCCCCCAGTCCACCAAGACCCCTAGGAGGTTGTTTTTTGAAGATGTTTGGTATTTTGTAATATGTTTTGACTCATTTACGAACTTCATTTCGATGTTTCATGACATTTTGTTTGGAATGGATGACTGTTTATGTTTTAGCATGATTTCTTTAGCAACGATCTCGTTTATATGCAACAACACCTTACAAACTTAGCTAAATATTTCTTCCTAACGGGATATTTTGACTAAGTCTTGTAGCACATACGACCTTAGCTGGAATTGCATATAGAGAAGGATCTTTGAGAATTTCTAAGGAAGAATTCTAATTAGGTATCGTAGCGTGTATGACCTTAGCTTGGCCTGCGTAATTTCATAGAATTCCTTAGGAAGAATTTTGTAGAATAATCTTAGATCAGCTTGCGTATGAAGTAGGGCTTTGTAAGATTCCTTAGGAGGAATTTTCACTAAGAGTAACACGTACAGCCTTAGATCGGCCTGCGTAGGGAGCAGGGCTTTGTAAGATTCCTTAGGAGGAATGTCCACTAAGGGTAACAAGTACGACCTTAGATCGGCTTGCGTAAGGAGCAGGGCTTTGTAAGATTCCTTAGGAGGAATGTCCACTAAGGGTATTAGATTGACCTGTGTAGGGAGCAGAGTTTTGTAAGATTCCTTAGCAGGAATGTCCACTAAGGGTAACACATACAGCTTTAGATCGGCCTGTGTAGGGAGCAGAGCTTTGTAAGATTCCTTAGGAGGAATGTCCACTAAGGGTAACACGTACAACCTTAGATCGGTTTGCGTAAAGAGCAGGGCTTTGTAAGATTCCTTAGGAGGAATGTCCACTAAAGGTAACATGTACAGCCTTAGATCGGCCTGCGTAGGGAGCAGGGCTTTGTAAGATTCTGACAGAATGCTGAATAAAATGTTCAAAAACAGGAAGTCCTTTTTTTTATTGATGTGATTGGTATTACAAGCGGGTTTTATGGACTTTCCCATTCATCGATAGAACTGCCTGAGGTGTTTGGCATTCTAAGGATGGGGTAAGGGTCTACCCCCCAAGTTTTCCAGTTCATATGCCTCCTTTGACGAGACCTCCATTACCAGATAGGGGCCTTCTCATTTTAGAACCAGGCATCCACTGCCTACCTCTCTTTGTGAGGATCCGACCTTGAATATTTATGTTCGGATTCCATATGTTCGCCATATGCACTGCTGGGGGGTTGCGTTGATGATTGGTACAGGCTTTCCACTGACATATTTCGGTGAGCTCCCTGTTCCCTATGACTTTACCCATACCATGGGGTGTGGAAAATTTGATAGAATAGTGATATAGGGAAACTACTGCTCTCAGGCTGAAGAGTAGGGGTTGTCCCATCACAGCATCATAAGGGGAGGGAGTGTTGAATACCACGAACTCGGAGTTTGTCTTCACCTACTAGGGTGCTGATCCTGACTCAACTTTGAGCTTGATTGATCCTTTGGCAGAGGTCAAGGCTCCACTTAATCCTAGGACCATATTCGGGTATGGTCGAAGGAAGTTAGCAGGGATACCCATCCATTGAAGGGTATTACTGAATAGGATGTTTAGAGCACTTCCTGTATCCACCAAGACTTTGGGGATGGTTACCCGGCCTCGGATAACGAGATAACCAGAACCCCGAGGTAAGGATGTGGGTCTGCCTCCTTCTCTTCAAAGGACAGTTGCTCATCTGTGGCTTTTTTGAGGTTCTTCTCAATTATGCCAATCTCCGAGAGATCCACAACGGCTGGTCTTTTCAATCTGGCCTCCCGACTTACATGTTCGGCCTGCCCCTTAGCATGTTGACTTGTGGCCTTGGCAGGTCAATATTGTAGGCCCTTGCAAGAGCTTGATCCCCTCAGATAATTCCTGTCCCATAAGGAGTGTGGAATTTCATGTAATAATGGTAAATTGAGGTGGCAGCTTTCATTTCATGCAAAATGGGCCGTCCCAATATTACATTATAATTGGATGGCAAATCGACCACCACAAAATCTGCTAGGATCCTTCTTTGGCTAGGAGCTTCGCCCAACTCCACGATAAGGATGATCTGACCTTGGGCTTCATTAGGATCCCTAGAGAATCCCTGTAGTTTTTTTGGATACGGTTGGAGATAGCATTCTGATATTTCCAACTGCCTCAAAGTTCGTGAGTACAGTATGTTGATTGAGCCTCCATTGTCTATTAAAGTTCGGTGGACTTTTACTCCAGCAACAGTCATTGTAACCACTAGGGTGTCACTCTGGTCCTGAAGGATTCCTTCAGAATCTTCTTCTGTAAACTAGAACCATTCAGGGTCTATACCGATCCTAAGGGTTGGATCCCAGTAGTTCGGCATGGTTCTTGCACTTCAGGTTTGTCTTCGTCTCACCCTTCTGGATCCCTCAACATATTGATTTCCTCCCACCATCATCTTGATTTCAGCATTTGAGGGTGGATTACGATTGGGGATTGTCTGCTGAACTCGCGTAGGAGGCTCCTGCAGTAGTGGCTGCTACGTCGTAGGTCGATCTGCTTCTTTTCTTGGCAACAAACTCCTGTAATCGACCTCTTCAAATTAGGGACTCAACTTCCTCTTTTAAGTCCCGACAGTTATCAGTGTCATGGCCCACCATCTGTGATATCGACAGTATCGTCCCTGATGTTGTCCTGCCTATCCATCCTTTAGGATCATGGGTCTGTGAAATGCCTCTTTCGCATTGGCTTGCGTGAATACCTCTTCCAAGGAGGCTTTGAGTGGGTGGTACTCTCGAAATTTGTATGGCCGAGCCCTAGGACGTTCTCTTTCTCTCCTGTCCTTCTTTCTTTCGGGCTGGGGGCTGCGACTTTGTTTTTTTTCCTTTACTGTGTTGTTGAAGTTGGGTTCGGAGGTCTCCTCCTTTTGGTTAGAGGTTGCTTCTTTAGCACTTATGTATTTCTCAGCTCGGTTAAGCAACTCACGATATGTCCTTAGACCGTCCTCGTGTACTGACCACCAGAATCTTGTTCTAGGCCTCAATCCTGCTAGTACGGCCATGAGTGCCGCATCATCAGATATTTTTTCCACTTCCATGGATTGCTTGTTGAACCTGCTCAGGTAGCTTTTGAGGGATTCACTTCTTCCCTGCTTGATGCTCACTAGTTGTTCCTTTAGTGTGGTTCTGGCCTTGCAGCCTATGAACTGGGTCAAGAACGTCGTGGCCAGATCATTCCAATTCTTTACCGACCTCTCATGCAATCTCCTAAACCATCTTTGAGCTTTGTCTCCTACAGTCAGGGAGAATGCCCGGCACATAATTGCGTTGCTTGTCCCTTGTAGTTCCATCCACGAGGTGTATTTGTCAAGGTGGCTGAGGGGATCACCATCCCCTTCGTATGCGGCGATCTGGGGGATTTTCAATTTCTCATGCAGTGGTTCCATAAGGACATCCCTAGTGAAGGGGGAATGTTGTTTGGTTTGGTAATCTTCAGTGCCGCCTTTGTTTTTAGCCTCCAAGTTGGCGATACATTTTTTAAGTGCACTCAGTTCGGGCTCTGCTTGTTCCAACAGTCGTTTTAGGTCGACTTGTCCTTGTGTAGGAGTCAGTGATTACTGGGTCCCCAATCTGTCAAACACGCTTGCAGTCCTCCTTGCCTCAGGTTCCTTACTTCTGACCTCGTCAATTAGACTTCTGGAGGATTTTTCCCTTGAAAAGTGGAGAGTCCTCCTGGTGGGGGGACGTCTTGCCTGTGTCCTTACGGGGTATTCCACCTCAGTATCTCGTGGGGACGAGTGGACTTGACTACTTTCCAATTGTCCCACTACGTTTGTTAATTTTTCCAGGGCTTCCCTCATGACATTCATTTGAGGGTCCTGCCGCTGTGGAGAACTTGGTGGTTTGTTCGTTTCGTGAGGGTGGGTGTGAGATGGATTTCTGGAACTTGAACTACGACTCATGACTCTCAAATTTTGTGGAGAGAATGAGACTATTTTTCACAGTTAGGGCCTTCCTTCTAGTGCCAAACTATTGACGTCAAAATTAGCAAGGTTAATTTTAAGCCATCTTTAAGAGAAAAGGACGATTTATTATTGAAAAAAGACCACAAAATACGTTTAGAGAGTGTAATTATGCCTTGAGTTGTTGTATGAAAATTACTTGCCTTTTACAAGAATCCTATTCAACTATTTATACATAGTTTCAGCCGAAATTACATCAGATCAGTTAAATCAGCAACAGTGCCGAGCTCGAAACTCGGATCACCGAATTTTCCTGTGTTTGGTCGATAAGGCCGGTGGTCATGTGTCAATGTATTACCAGGTAATAATGACCTGCAAGGGGCTGGAGTTCGAGGACTTGGAATTGGTTGTTCTGAGCAGCAATGATGTCACCTATGGCAAGTGTATCTGATTGATAGGGTGATATGACAAGGAGTAATCATGATATTTTTCTGAGATAACGGCGGGTTTGTCCGACCTGGGAGTATGGGCCGAACTTACATTTAACTGAGGTGGGGTTAGCGAACTGTTTTTATTAGGTCGAAGTTCAGATGTCAACAGATATCATTAATGCCAATTTGTCGAGGTAGCTATTAAATGCTTGGTTAGTACATCCATAAGCTATTCTTAAGATTGAAAATGAGGCACTTCAATAAGCTTTGCTTTAAGTTTCTCCTTGATAAAGTGTATTAACCTCATTATGTTTAGTTGTATCATGTTGAACTAGGTTATGGGTAATATTGCATGCTGCCTTGTCAATATAGCGACATAGGATTGATTTGGTTAAGATGTAAATCTTGCATCAAATTCTTGATCCACAATAAATTACATACCGCCTTAGTTGTTTCCCTGTATTCTGCATCAATACTTTAGCTACTGCCACTTGTTTTCTACTTTTCCAAAAATCAAATTCTCACCTACAAATGTGAAATACCCGAATGTAGATCATCTATCTTCGATTGATCTTGCCCAATTAGCATCAACAAGCTAAATTAGGCTTGATATGTGCAAGGTACATTAACTTTCCAACAAGCCTTTGATAGCGTTCCTCGTTAGCAGGGACTTGATTTTGATGTATATTTAGTTTCAGATTTTCTTCCATATGGGTGCTAGGTAAGCTATATGCTGTCATACCAATTTCATTCAACAT